ATTCCTGTCTACTCATCAAGGATTATTGTGGAATTGTTACTGAAAATTATATTAAATGTGAATTTTAGTTTAAATATGATGTAGTTCTACATCTTGTATCAGGAGCAGCCTCTCTGTTCTCATCATCTATGAAACAGAAAATAAATGTTCCCAGCCTGTGTCACAGAAGCAATGTATTTTACTTTTGCCTATCTTTTGTTGCCAGGTGCAAACAAAACTTCAGACGTTCATTTCTAGCCTGCAACAGAAAACAAGTGAGATTGAGATTTTAGCAGTAAGTATTTGGCAGAAGCCTGAATTAATTTCAAATTCTTAATTGAATTGGATGATGCAGTTGCTATCTGGAACAAACAACTGCCAATAGCCTCACTTTAGAGATACCAAATGAACCAAACTTCTGGTTAAATAAGACCCGTGGCATGTTTCTTTAATACTTGAAAATTATCTCAAATTGTGTGTATTGGACAGTTGCATAGAACAAAATGTAACAAGTATTTAATTGTAAATTCTTAAACTGTACTTATGCTAACTACTGTGGTAGATTTAATAACTTGTTCCTCCTAGATTTGTTCTTACATTTAAACCAACATAGCTTTTGTTTGTATATAGCTTTTAGACTTTGCTGACAATGTCACAAAGGACTTTAAAATGGTATACGCTTTTCAGGAAACGTACTGCCTGTTTGCCTGTGCCTATTTGGAGCTTTCCATAATGGAATCCGTCATGAACTATTTGTTTAAAATGCTTAAAACCTCGGTAAATTCCCAGTTCTATCAGCACGAGTGCTTCTTGGGAAATCAAAAAGTCTGACTCCCTTCAGTACAGCTAATCTCTAGTTGGCAAACTGATAATAGAAGAACTGTTAAGTATTGATTTCTTTATATTTTTACAGGTAGATCTGCCAAAAGCAACTGTGATACACTTCTTATCATTAGAGGTAAGCAATTGAGTATTGCCACCAAAACTCTAATTGAACAATAGATGGTAAATTCTGTTCCTAATGAAGTGGAATGTAAAGTTCACCCATTGTAGTTTTTCTTCTTCAAGGAGTTTGAATTAGGTTTTAAAACTTGGAAGGATTTTTGTACCCAAGGAGCTTGACTGAGGCTAGAAGAATCTTTTTGTCAAATGCCCGTTACGCAAGACACCATTAGGAAGTCCTAATCCAAAGCTCTAGGTTTTTTCCCAAGAAGAGTTAACTGAAGTTACGTCTTACTGCTCATTTTCAGAAACCAATAAGCTTTAATAGCAGTTTCAGCAAAGGTGTTTCTTGAAACTGTTAATGAAAGAGGACCCAAAATACAGAGGCAGTTGTTGCGAGTACAGTAGCTGAAACATCTCTTAGTGAAGCCAAGATAAAAAGAGGATGTGTAAGTATTATATTGACACCTTTAACAACTCAGAAACTGCTCGATGAGGGGGAAAAAACAGACCACAGACAAAACTCTTTTCTTTCCTCCAATGACAGCAGTAGCTTTAAAGTCAGATGTTCTTACTAGAGAGATGGATGCCTCCCCACCCCCCAAAAAAACAAACTCAAGAGTGGCACCCTGCCTGAAAGTGGATTTAGTACTTTCATCTGCTGCTCTGAAGCAGTGCTTGACTGGTAATCAGACCCCAGTGAAACATTTGAAAATATTTTCAAAATACTTAGTTCATCCAGTCTATCCAAATCATGGAGATGGTTAATCATCTTTTACTTAAAAAAAAAAAAAAAAAAAAAAGCAAAACTACAGGTTTTGT